TGTGGTCTTCGAAGTAACTTTTCATCAGATAAATCTTATCTACAAATTTCATCTGACTTGATATCTTTTTGCAAGACTTACTTAAATTCAACTGATTCTTCTTTAGATCTCAGTATTGAAGCTTACTATTCTTTGATTTGCAAAGACTCCAATAGTCACATGCTTAGCTTGGGCATATACAAACATATCAACTCACCTATTTTTCAGGGAATCAGGTTTGAAGACTTATATATATTTAATTAAAAATATATAATAAAATAAAATTAATCTATAACTTTTATTGAAAACTCTTGCTCTTTCCACCAGCAAGCGCTTATATTTTTGTTATTTTTATAATATACTAGTTTTAATATAGATATTATACTATTAATAATATATAGTATAATATTAAAACTAGTATATTATAAAAATATATAATATTTAAGCGCATACCTTATAATGGTTACACAGTATAAATATAAATAAAAATTTTTAATTTTTATTTATATTTATACTGTGTAACCATTATAAGGTATTGTTTTGTTATTTATAATACTTAGGTTTACTAATTTTTAAAAGTCCTAGATAAGTTTTTATACAAAATTAAGTTAAAACATGATTCAACTTATTAATGTATTAAATATTTTAGTTATATTATCATTAAATTATTCATTTTTAAGTGTTTGTTGAGTGCTTAAAAAGTATTCAATTGGGTTTGCGTTTTTTTCTATTCAATACTGGGGACATATTTCTCAATCCCGAAATCCCGGGATTGAAAATTTGAAGAGTCGCTAGCTCTTTAGAACAGTGCATATTATAGTATTTATATAGAAAAGAGAAAGAGAAGCAACATTACGAGGATACGAAAATGGTTGGAGGTTAACTGCAAGAACAGGTCCAACTATGTTTACAATGCGTTTTTGCACCTTATCTAAAAGAGAAAGGGCATCATTGGAAGATTTGCATCAGATATGACAACTGTATTCCATACAAGGGCAAATTTAAGATTAATAGAGATAAAGAATTGAATCCTGAGTAAGAAAGTAGCAACCACAATTAAGACTATAATACTGGCCACACTGAATTCTTTATTTCTCAATATCTTACTCAGATAGTTAAATTGTGACTCATTTTACTGACAAACCAAATCACTTACCTTTACTCCTTGATTTGTATATTGTCTCTGACATTATCTTGTGTTCAGTTTCTCATTGTTTCCTTTTAGGTGGCTCCCACCATACAATGAATTCTTTTAAATCTTTTAATTTGTACTTCTACGTCAGATTTACTTTATCATCGCACTACTTACTACTACCCTAAACTGACTAATTCTTTTCATGATTTTTTTTGTAAGAGTCTTTGGTTCTGATGTCTTTCGTCTCTCTGATAATAAATGTGCCTTCTACATAACAACCTTGTTCCAGGCAGGTACAGAAGCTTTTGCTCCTTTTTTGTCAATTTCAAGCAAGCTTCATTCTACTCCATGGTTTTTATCTTTTTGTGCAGCTGCTACAGCTAACCATAAACATTTTTTTGATGTTTTTCAAAGAAACAGTTGTCTTAAAAACAAACACCTTTTTATTACTTGTTGTGCTGTCTGATAAGCTCAATTATTTCCAGATTAATAACTCTTATACCTTGTATCTTAGAGACTTGGCCTAGAGACTTTTTCCAAAATTCTCTAACGCCAGAAGTTAGGCTCTAGAGACTTTTAGAAAATCTTTATTATTACTTTTAGAAAGTCTTTATTAAAAGTTAAAACATTTCATCTCTTATTCATGGATCTGATTTTATTACCTCTCCTATAGATAAAGCAGAACTACTTTTTTTAATGCAAAGGCTATTGCTTGTGACATATCTAGGGCTTTCAATAAAAATTGGCATGCTGGTCTTCTCCACAAGCTTGCTCCTTATGGTATATCTGGAAAAGTTTTTGAGAATAAAAAATAAAACAATTTCTTTCTAACTGCAATATCAAAATCATCCAAGGCTAACACTCTTTTTCATTTACAGTAACTTCTGGGGTAACTCGAGGGGTACCTCAGAGTTCTACCTTTCTGTATCTACAATAATAATCTTCCTAACCATCTCTCATGGAAACCATATATACAATCCATTGCAAAGTTAGCGTCTGCTAGAATTGCTTCTCTTTATCGTACTGGCTATTATCTTACTTCTGATTCCATTTACTATTTCTACAAATCTCTTATTTGTCCCTGCATGAAATACTGTTGTCATATTTGGGCAGGTTTTCTTAATGATGCTCTTTCTTTACTAGACAAGGTCCAAAAATATTTTTTAAGCATAGTTGGAACTGATTTGTCTGCCAACCTTGCTGCCATCATAGCAAAGTTACATCTCTTTCTGCTTTCTACATATACTATTATGGTTGGCGCTCAAAGGAGCTATCATCTCTAGTTTCATCAACCAAAACTCATTCTTTCTTGATTCCTCATTCAGCAAAGTTGCATTCTTTTACTGTATCCGTCCCTTCTTGCTTTAAAAACATCTATTTATCTAGTTTTTTACCTTGCACACCAATCCTTTGGAACTTGGATGCTTTGCACATCAATGCTTTCTCCTTTCTTTATGTTTTTCTGAATCATATAACCTTTAACTTTTCAAACCTTCTGTCAATCATTTTCTTGCTTTTTAACAAAATTCTATGTTTTTTAGTAACTCCTAACTTTATGTTTGTTTGCAGCCTTGTTGGGAGTGAATTATTTTAAAGTAATAACTTTTTATATTTTGAAATAAAACATTAAATAATTAAAATAAAAACTGCTATAGCAGTAGAATTTTAATAATTTTGTTTTAATTGTATTTAGTTTTTTATGTTTGTATTTAGTATTAATTTTTTAAGTTATTTTTTTATTTTATTATATTGTTTAAAACTATTTATAAACTTTTGTAAATTTTACAGAATTTTGTTTATTCAGCTACAGGTGGTTGCAACCAAAAAAACCACGTGAAAGTAGACTATAATTTTTTTCTTGATACAAATATTTTTTTAATAAGAGTATGATTGAAAAAGAAGCCTCCTCATAAGTATGGTTTATTATGTTTTGTATGTGTTCTTTTGCTAGAATGTTGAAGCTGACTTCTTTTTATGCCATGCACCCCAAATCCACATCAACTAATTTGGCTATAATTTCTTAATTATTACAAATTATAACCTGATTTTTTGAAGAAGATTGTTATAATAAATTGCTCTTAGGATGATTGCATTGCTGCTAACTTATATTTTGAAGAACATTTAAAATTTACTACAAAAACCCATCATATGCACTTCGAAAACAATGTTGGTTTTTTGATGGTTTTGGAGAAGATTTGAAATAATTTAAGAAAATAATTATATTGTTTACTCTAAGATAGTTTCTATTTGCCATATAAAAAAAGTTTAATTTTTTATGTTAATTTAATCCCAAAATACTGCCCTTAAAGCATATTATGTTTTTTTGTTTTTCATTTTAGAGTTTTGTTTATTATATATATATATATGTATATGTGTATATATATATATATATATATATATATATATATATATATATATATATATATATATATATATATATATATGTATATATATAATATATATATATATATATATATATATATATATATATATATATATATATATATATATATATATATATATATATATATATATATATATATATATATAGTATTTATTAATAGTAAGTAAAATGAAACCAACATCTCTGTTACATTTACTTAAAAACAATGTAAATCTTAGTACAAAAGCTGATGCCACAGTTGTCAGAAAACTGATGAAAGAAATAAGCAACTAGAAGCTGCTATAAATTGGTGCAAAGAAATGAATGGGAGGGGACAAGCAGCATTAAAGACTAGTATGTTTCCTCTTAATAATGATAGAGAGACAATCAACAAGCGATCAGATGGAAAAGTGATTGATTGACAAGAAACAAATTATTGTACAATAATTACAAAAAATAAAGAAAAATAAGTACAGGTCTTTACAAGCAATTAATAAACAGGAAGTAACCAAATTAATTCTAATTGTGCAACACATTAGACATCACACTAATACAAATATTAAAGGTGGAAAGAAGTTTCACAAATTATCATTAAATGTTCGAGCTGCACTGGAAAAAAGAAAGTAATTTGAAACAAAATTATTTAACCTACAATGTTCCTATGAAATCTAAATAGGGTTATGAGAATCATTTTCATATATAAAAATCCTTTTTTTTTTAATCTATTCTTTTCATACAACGGTTTTCACACAACTTTTATAAATTTGAAAATTTTTATAAATAAGTATCAATGTACTTTTTTATCACTGTTGATACTAGTCAAATATTCAATTGTGATAAAGCACCTTAATTTATAAACTACCAAGTCTGAATTATTTTATGCTGGCAAAGGGGATGCATGTATAGAAAAAACAGAGAATATACTACAATTCAACCATTTGTATGTACAAATAATAATACTTGTTTAAAAAAAAAAAAAATTTTTTATTGTAAGGCGATATATGTATGTGTTAGGCGATATATGTGTGTGTTAGGTACTGTTAATAGCAGCCATAAATTTAATGAATTATATAAAAATAGAATTGTTTAATATTTTACTAATATCTACTAATATTACTCTCAGATACCAAATCAATGCCCATTTAAACATCTAAAACTTTTTTATCCCCCAAGATTTTATTTGGAATTCCCCTTTCTACCTTCCTCTTGTTTAATATTTTGTCTGATTGATATTATTATTTGAAAATGACTTACAAATATTATTGATTAAAAAATTTAAAGTATTTAATCTTAAACTTATTTTTAATATAACTTAGAATTCAGTTTTAACTTAAATAGGGTTTTCAATCTATTTCTCATGAGGAACTTAACATCTATAACCCTTAGATGAAACCTTTAAACAGTATTTCACTTATAGTTTTTAAGCTGTAAAAACCACATATGTTTATATTTGTTACGCACAGATGTTTATGTGTGCTTAACAAATAAATAAGAACACAGTTTTTAAGCTGAAAAACCACGAATATTGCATGTGTGCTTAACAATAAAATAAGAACATTAGAAGGCATAAAATTGTGACAGTGTAGAAATGAATGGCGCTACTCGACTTTCTCCACCTCTAAAACCTCACCCAATCCCCATCCCTATTTTGGTGATTATGTTGAATTATAAGAAAACATAAGTCTAAAAATTTACAGGCTGTTCTCTAATTTGATTTTAATGTTTAAAAAGTTACACAAAAAATGCAAATATTTGCCATCTTTTTTCTTTTGAAAAACCCACACATTAAATGTGTGCTTTTTCACAGGGTAAAATACTTTTTCTTGTAAAACCCACACATATTCAATGCACACTTTTTTACAGAGTAAAATGTTTTTTGTTGCAAATAATATGAGAAAATTTATAGATATCTTAAGAAATTTTTTTACAGTTAACTCATAATTTTCATACTCAAAATATTTTATTTCTTTATTGCAATTAACAAATAGTCATACCATATTTCTACAATCTTCAAACATTACTATATTCATTATAGTGGCGAGCATCTAAAACATAAAAAAACTAAAATTAAGAGTTTTACTATAAAAAGTTAAAAACTATAGAAAAATAACTTTACTAGATTTATGTTTTCATCCAGGAGAATTATTTATAAATGCTGTAGTTACCTGTTGGAATATTTCTGATCTTAGATCAAGTAATTTTAAAGCTGCATGTTGATCTTTTGTAGAATCATTTTTATTAGCTTTTTGACAGTTTGTAAAAAAGTAAGATATAATATGGTCTAAAGCTGAGCAACAGCCAGTTGAAATACCCAAATCTAAAAGATTTTAATTTTTTTCAATCATAATTTATTCCTAACATAACAAATTGAATGCAATTCTTAAAATAATCAATTTTATACTTTTGTGAACCATAATGTCGAACTTCAAACCATGATAGAGCATACAGTGGCAATGTAGTCAACCGAAAACAGAAATACAAAGTCCTGGTTTTAAAGACTCCAAAACTATAAAGACTCTCAAAAATCTAAAGACTATAAAAAAACTCTAAAGAGTTTAAAAAAAAAAAACACTCAAGAAAACTCAAAAGGATCTCAAAAAAAAAAAAACACTCAAAATAAAAAAACCTTTTAGTTTTTTGGATTTCAGACAAAAAATGAGACCCTAGGACTCCAGACTCTGGGTTGGTATCCCTGATCAGATGGATAAGATTATTTCCTGGATTTTTTTCCAACATGAAATAACACAAAACTTTATTGGTTCAATCACAAAACTTGATGATGCATATTACAGGGCTTGACTTTTTTTTTTCATGTTAATTCACCTCTCTAAGGTCGAGAAGACTAGGCTAGCTAAGGTCGCTACAATAGACAAGGAGGCTACTTAATTGTAGTTACAATCCTCTCTCAACTCTATAACTGAAAAATATGAACCTTGACGAACAAAGCTGCTGAGCAGAGAAATTGAGCGCAGTACTACGAGGGACGTAATAAGGATTGAACTTGAAACTTTTCATTTATGAAGCGATCGCTCTACCACTACACCACATATTTTATGTATTTTACACCTGGTGAAACAATAGTTTGACCAAATGAGATTTTATTTCATTAGAGTAAAAGTTTATTAATTGCAGCTTTAAAAAAGACTTCCTTACTAATACATTTGTACTGTCTGTTATTAATATCTATATTTATATTTATACCCCTATAATACACCTGAGAGAAATTATTTAGAGTGTGTCGGTGTGTTTTCATATTTCTGATTGAAAAACACTCATACTTTTTTAGAGTGTGTCAGTGTGTTTTATATCTTTTATTGAAAAACAAAATCTCATACTTTTTAAAATTTTAAATGTATTCATATTTTTTATCTTTGAAAAGTCTTGTTGTTTACTTTAAAGCTAATACTATCAAATAAGAATGTAAGTTATTTTTTGATTTTAGTAAAATATTTACCAAAACTATTATACAAAAAATCCAAAAAATGCATATCTAACCTCAAGCCCATACACTTTTCAAAGATTTGAGGTTATTATGGTTGTATAAACATGATATAACTTTTTTTTTAAACTAATTCTAACAACAAAGCTACTACTAACAAAGTTTTTAAAATAATACACTATCAATAAGGCAACCACTATTAAGCTAGGAGTTACCAGAAAACAAAGAATAGTACCAAAGAACAAGGAAACAGCTGACAGAAGACTTGAAAAGTAAAAGGTTGTATGAGTAAGGAAAACATGAAGATGGGAGTTGCAAAGCATTAAAAATGAATAAAAGTTTCTAGAAGTTTTTAGTTCTGCCTGAGAGTAAGTTATTAGACTCAAGATGAGATGTTAAAGTTTTGCCTGAGAGTAAGTTATTAGGCTCAAGATGAGATGTTAAAGTTTATTGATTAAATTTGCAAAGACCTTACATATTTGTTAACAGAGAGTATTTTAAGGGGTAAACTAATTATATCTGTTGACCAGCCTTGCACCCTTTCTTTAACAAATAGACTGGCTTAGATATATTTATAATACATTGTTTTCAGTTTAGGATGATGAATGCTGGATATTCTTGACTCAACGCATGGGTTTTGCATGTGTCTCTGTTTTTTTGACTCATTCTATTATTTCCTAATAAGGGTACAGCTCTAGAATGAGGCAACTCATTCTATTTGTAGGGGTATTTTAAGGGGTAAACTAATTATATCTGTTGACCAGCCTCGCACCCTTTCTTTAACAAATAGACTGGCTTAGATATATTTATAATACATTGTTTTCAGTTTAGGATGATGAATGCTGGATATTCTTGACTCAACGCATGGGTTTTGCATGTGTCTCTGTTTTTTTGACTCATTCTATTATTTCCTAATAAGGGTACAGCTCTAGAATGAGGCAACTCATTCTATTTTTTCCTTATAAGGGTACAGCTCTAAATTTCAGTTTTATGGTTCTGAGGCCAGCTGATAGTCAGGTTTCCCAAACTCTGTGGTAGCTCTCAGAGAGGATTGATTCCATCAACAGCTTTTAAATATCAGAGTGCCATATATATATATATATATATATATTATATATATATATATATATATATATATATATATATATATATATATATATATATATATATATATATATATATAAGCTGTAACAAACAGCTCCAAATGTGACCTTGATAATGCACACCAAAACGACGAACAGGTATACCATCCATGCATAACATGGCACTCTGATATTTTACAGCTGTTGATGAAATCAGCCTCTCTGAGAGCTACCACAGAGTTCGGTAAACCTGACTACCAGCCGGCCTCATATGTGTGTGTGTGTGTGTGTGTGTGTGTGTGTGTGTGTGTGTGTGTGTGTGTGTGTGTGTGTGTGTGTGTGTGTGTGTGTGTGTGTGTGTGTATATATATATATATATATATATATATATATATATATATATATATATATATATATATATATATATATATATATATATTAAGGGTAGCTCAAGACCTTAAACATCAGATGGGTCCCTATAATTATTTAAAAAAATGGTTCTTCAAAAGTATATTGTGTTGGTCTCAAAAGAAGCAAAATTATATAAAAACTTCAAATAATAAATAATAAATAATCATCATTTTATGGAAAAACATTTAGAAAAAATAATTTTATAAAATATTTTTTGTTATTTGTTTAAAAATAACATTTTCTAGGCAGTGAAATCTAAAATAATAATTTTTTTATAAAATGTTGATTATTTCTTTGAAAATTTTTTTTTTTTGAAGAGCAGCAGATTTTATTATTATAAACAATAAACAAGCTAGTTTAAATAACACTCCAGAACAAGCAGGTCAGCTTTCAATGTTAATATTAGATCTATAATTACATTTTTTGAAATAAAAATTTATCATATAAATGCTACAAATTTTTATGATAACGAACTTATTCAAAATAGTCAGTTTTACTTCATACAATGATATTAATGACAGACTTCATGAAACAAAATACAGCCAAATTAGAATATAGACAAAAGTATTTAAGGCATGGAAGCATAGGTTTCATTGATGTTAACAAGGAGCTTAAAGGTAGTGATAATATTCAACTGTTGAATTAACCCTATTTTAAACTATTTTTAACTGTTAAGTAAGTATAAACTAAAATTACAAAAGCTTAGAAAACTAAATTATATATTAAATGCAAAAAATAAAAAATAAAAAACTGCTAATGTAAAAAGGAAAACTTTATTATCATAAGAAAAAAAAATTACTTGCTACTATTTTACTTGATGTCAAGTAAAAAGCATTATCTCTTAAGTTTTATGACTCATAAAACTGAATCTCATTGTATTTTATCACTATGCATTTTAAACATTTTAAAGTATTTAAGAATAATATTATTATAAGTATAGTTAAAAAACTGATGTTTTCATAAATTAAATTCTAAACTTTTCTTCTTTTATCACAATAAACACTTACCAAACAATCCTTCTTTTATCAAACTTTTTAACATTCTACTCCATTATATGAACATTAAAAGATAACTATTTAAAAACTGAATTCCTTAACTCAAGAAAAAATTTCAAATAATTTGAGAAGATTGTCAACTATGCCTAGCAAAATATATAAGCCTAGTCTATTGAACATTTCTAAGATTTTGTTACATTTCTAGTCATAGAGGAGGATTAAGCACATTACTACATTTTTAAACTTTTGCAATATTTCCCCCAGTGATAATCCGTTTATTAAATCACAAAGAGAACTTAAAGACCTCTCAGCATATTGAGTGATTTTGTTTCACATAATGAACCAAAATCCTTAGAAGCAATTGTGTTTTCCAACCATCAGAAAAAAAAAACCTTGAAAATCTCTGAAACAGAGTAATCAAGAGAATCAAGTTTTAATTTATCTAACAACTATTTTATGTTTGCATAAAGTTCATCAATCGAGGGTAGTGCATCCAAAACTAAAGTTTTGTAAACACTAGTTAACTTAAAATCTTTAGACATCAAACATTTTGCTATTTTATTTTTACTTGTATGTACATCTAGCCCTTGCTTTTAAGTATTTTGAAAACTACTTTTTGATTAAAGGTAAATAAAACTAAATTTAAGGTAACTTTTAGATAGCCCTGTCCTCCATCTACTTCAACCTTAATATTTATATTCTCTGGTTTAAAAGATTTATATTGTAAAACTGTTGCATCAACATTATTGCGTATGTTGCATCAATATTTTTTTATACTTCTTTCAGTTTCACTAAACAATAACAATACAATGTCAAGGAAAAGAATAAACTTTTTTTTAGACTTTCAACATTATTCAAAGTATTATTTTATCATTATTCATAAAATATGAAAAATATGAATAAAGTATGTTATATATATATATATATATATATATATATATATATATATATATATATATATATATATATATATATATATATATATATATATATATATATATATATATATATATATATGTAATTAGTAAAAACCATGAGTAAAATAAAAATAAAAAATAGCCCACATTTTAAACCTGATTTGGCAAATATTGAAAATAACCTAATGCACTAAATTAAAACAATGAAGTTTCAACATATAAGTAACAAATTTTAAAAAGAAATAAAGTTTGATGTTAAAAAACTAATTCGTATTAAAACATTTTTTTGCTGACAAAACAAATGTTCAACTCACAACAAAAAAAATATGAAAAAAATTTATGCAATTGTATTCTTAATTCTAATGGGAAAGCCCCTGAAAAGTTGAAAAATGCAATTAATTTAGAAGCCCAAAAGTATTGCTAAAAAAAGCAGCCTTGAAAACTGAATTTGAATTGAATCAACTGCCCTTGCACAAGCTTTTAAAAACTAAAAGATCATAAACCCAATTTTCAAAACAAACTACCTTGTAGGTTATAAGTTTCCTCAAAAAATGAGATTAGAAAAAATTAATAATATACTTAAAAAAAATTTTTATTTACAACAGTGGAAAAATACTACTTGGAATTTCCAAAAAATCATGCACAGAAAATTGTATTTGTTTTGTCTATTGTTTTTATTAAAATAAAACAATTTGAATTCTAATGTTTTTATTAAAATAAAACTCCATTTTAATTCTAACATATATAAATATTTTGTAAACAAAAAATGGTATATAATATAATGTTAACAAAGAATAAATTAAGTTTGAAGCGGAATCATGCACAGAACAGAAAAAGTCAAATTTTAGTTACTAGATAAATAAACTTTAATTCTAGGCTGCCACAGCAAATTCCAGTCATATATACAACAGTTTTTACGTTATTTCAGATAAAGTAGGTTCAAGTAATGTTCCAAAAAAAAAGCCATTTTTTGGTTTTCATTTTTTTAAGTTTTTTGTTTTATTCTTGTGTAAAATTTCAGTACAAAATACTGTCACTTCACTAAGGAAATGAAGGTTAGCAGTATACTTTTTTTTTTAAATAATATTATAAACATTAGTAAAGGTTTCCAGAAAGTTACAGGATTGCACTTTGTATCATAGAGTCACAGCAATTGTTTAAATACAGTTGATAAATGATCAGAAGTCAACCTTACTTTGTTTTAATAAGCTAAATGGAAGAATAAAAATATACAAGACTGCTTTGATGTAACAGTCGGCAGTTATGATGGAGCAGAAAGTTGTGAATTTGTTGAACTATATATTTGAGATTTATTAAGTAAAATATTCCATATTAATGAATTAGGACTTGATCACAATGATGGTTTAACAGCTTAAATTTAGAAAAGTTATTGTAAAAATTTTCAAAAATATTGGATTTCAAATTGAAATAAGCATAAATTTAAAAATAATGAGTTTACTTATTTTGGAATTTAACTTCTCTATAAATTCATTTAAGTCTTTCAAAAATGCAAATAATGAATTATTGTATATTAATATTAACTCAGAACTTTCACCCATAATTTTAAAACAAATAATCCCAGTTTTAATTAATAACATGCTAAACCTAATTTCCTCTGATAAAAATATGTTCAATTCCTAAGGTTTTTATGAAGATGCCTTTAAAAAAATTTCAAAATTTTGAACTAAAATTTATATTATGTCTACAAAAAATTTTTAAATAATTGTACATGCAAAACAAAAAATGTTTATTAAATAAAAAAGGGAATTGATTTTTAAACTTGATAAATGATGTTCTACTAATTTATATATATAAATAAAAAACATTGTTTATATTTTTAAAAACAATCTGGTCAATTAAATTTGCTTTTGCGGTTTTTTAAAAAAATGATTAATTGCCAATTAAATTTATGGTTTTAACTTTATGACAACACAGAAATGTTGTATAAAAGTCAAAAGTCTCAAAGCCAACAATTTATAGAACTATATATCGATGGTTAACATTAGGTAAACATTAAACAAATTAGGTATTAAAGTATGTAAAAGAAATGAAAATAAAATAGTAAAAAACAAAACAGAATTAATTGAGGAATTCATTTGGTTAAAAATCATGACAATAAATAAATATCATGAATTATTGTATGTTTTCAAACTTTCAAATTCAGATTTCTCAAAACAATGGTTAGTGGACGTATTCCCTTTGTGCTCTTAACCATCGATATATATATCTATATATATCTATATATATATCTATATATATCTATATATATATATATATATATATATATATATATATATATATATATATATATATATATATATATATATATATATATATATTTATATATATATATATATATATATATATATATATATATATATATATATATATATATATATATATATATATATATATATATACGGTAAAAAACACAAAACTAACAGTTCTATTTGTGTTAATAAAATTGAGCAACTAATAATATATAAATAATATAATATTTGCTAACAACTTCAAAAGAGACAACTTCTGTAATCCCATAATTCAACAGCATTATGGCATCAAGAGACAGCTATCAATCAAACTTCCTCAAATTTATACCAATGACAAAAAACTCCAATTTCAAATTGATATGCTAGACTGGATGAGGCAGCTGACTGCTCATGTTATTGAGCTTGGGGGAGAGATCAGTTTGCTGAAAGCCCAGGCAACAATAAACGAAGAGATGATAATAGCTCTAAAACAAAAAGAAATTGATCTTGAAAAAGAAACTACCATCCTGAAACAAGCAGAACCAACAAGCAGCAGAGTAACAAACTCAGTCACTCTAGCAGACATCATAAAAGGGGGCACAAAAATAACAGACAGAGATAACCCATTATTGTACAAGTCACTCAAGAACTGAACGAAAGAAAAAAAATTGAACATAAGGTAATTATAACCAAAGTCAATGACTGTGACTTGAGAAGATCCAGAAGAAAGAAAAAAACAAGATAAAGAAAGCATCAAATCACTGATAGTTGCCCAAGGACTCAAAAAAGAAATTGTCAAAAAAAAACGAAGAATAAAATAACAGCAGCAAGTAGACTTGTCAAACAGAGCAACAAATGTAACAATTGCAAATACATTTTTGCAAATGCACGATAAGTGTTTCTATTTAAAAACATTTATTGTGTTTGTATTTACAAACACTTATCATGTTTGTATTCACAAACACTTATCGTGTTTGTATTTACAAACACTTATCTTGTTGGTAAATACAAACACGATAATTGCAACTAAACGACCTCCACTAAGAATAGTAGTACTTAACCATGATAGCTAAATTGAACTGTTAAAGAAGCGTAACAAGCTAAGAACAATGGAAGGCTGTGACAATGTGTACATTGATAGAGATAAAACAAAGACAGAATGAGATGTAGAAAAGAGACTAAGAATTGGAAGAGTTGAGCGTAACAGTAAACTAAATCACGTTGAACAAGAAAACGGAAATACCTCGAGATACAATTAAAGGATACGCAAAAAGCGCTAATATTAGGGATACGCAATGGTGAACTTGTGTAGGTGCCATACAAAAAAAATCGACTTGTCACCAATCAACAACTTAGTAACAATAACAAAAAACGCTCAACACCATCATCTCAGCCACTAAATTATGCTGCAATTCCATCATCAAATATTAACCTGACCAAAGCAAAAAAAAGTGAATACCTTTATCAATTTGGTTGCCACACGATGCCACAAACTCGTTGTCAGCTAAAAGTAATATTATCAAACAATGCCCAACAACAACATCATAGCCCGCCAATTTATACAGCAACTTCATCATCAAAAATCAACTTGATCACAGCAGCAAAACACCAATACAGCCATCGGCTAAGTTTGCAACAAACTTGCAACCAATTTATAACTCAATAGCAGCAATAAATAATGATAAACATAGATGTATATACACTAATGCAATATCGCTAAATGCAAACAAACTCAACAAACTCACAACATTTGTCTTAGTCAACTATCCCCACATAACTTCAGTAAGTGAAACATGGTTCACAAGCCTATCAGTCCTACATCTGGACGGTTACAAAATGTTTCGTAAAGATAGAGAGGGTTATCACAGAGGAGTAGCTATTTATGTTAGCAAAGACGTACCATCTGTTAAAATTAATTATAAATAAATAACAGACACAAACTGCACACAGATTTGGTGTTCGTTAAACATAAACAATAAAAACATTCTAATAGGGTGTTTATATTGACCACCGCCTACCTCAAAATATGCAAATGATCTATCAACCGATACTGCAATTAGAAGAAGCATTAGCAAGGTATAACATGGTTTTGTCCCAAATAAATCATGCACAACAAACCTTCTGGAAACTATGGACTTAAAACTAAAGAAAAAAAAATATCACTAGTATTTTTCATGTGCATTTTATTTAGTACAGCATACTAGCCTTATTGAAAAATTGAGCAAATATGGAATGTTATTCCATATTTGTTGACCTGTTGGTCAACTGCTTGCATGGCTCATTTTTAACAAATCGACAACAGCAAGTTGCTCGATACAACATCAGTAGGCGATACAACATCAGGATGTGCATCAGTACCTAGCGGTGTTGTTCAAGGATTTGTATTAGGACCAATTCTATTTGTCATCTTCATTAACAACCTCCTAGACAACATTAACTCTTGCTGCAAAGCATTTGCAGACGACACCAAATTAGTAGCACCAATCCGGCCAGGAAACGAAGAGCTCGACACAAAAACTCTGCAGGATGACAATAACAAGATAAATGATTGGTGCTGCATTTGGCAAATGCAACTAAATCTTAGTAAAGTGATGCACATTGGACGAGCAAACAAATCAGCAACATGTTAAATCCTCTATTAGGTGCAAAAAGAGATCTAACAACAACGATATAGAAATAGATCTTGAATAGAATGCACGTTAATTCATTTCCTTTTTTCAAATACAAAAAACATTTTAAAAACTTATTATGATTATGGCATTTATTTGCTTAATTTGGAACTAATATTTTTTAACTAGTCTAAAAGGTTACAACTGCTAAATAAATAAATAATATGTAAATAACAAATACTATATAAAAACCTTTATTGTTATAACCACTTTATAATATCAAGTTTTTAAAGTATTACCCAATAGACAACAACTATTGGAAAACTGGAAACTAATAAATATTGCTATTGCCAATTGTGTTGTTACAATTACAGAAATTTACAACTATAATGGCTGACAAAAAATACTATTTTACCAAAACATTGTTATTTATAAAACTTCTTATCAAATTTTCTCAAAAAGTTACCAACAAATGATTTAATTTTTTATAAATATGGAATGTGCTTTCAAATTCAAAAAAAATAAATTTTAACGAATAAAAAATAAGGTATGAAGTACTAAGGAGTTAAGAAAACCAAAAATATCTTTAAAAATATTTACCAAGTGCAGTGAGTCCTTCTGATACAGTCGATATAATATACATCAAAACCTAAAAAAATGATATAAATTAGTTTATAATGATATCTTTATCAAAAACAAGTAAAAAATTGAGATTTAAACTTACTTTTAACTACAAAATCTAAACCAAGTTGCTGTTGAAATAATGGTTCATTTTTAGACTAGGAGAAATTACCTTAACTATTTCAATGTTTTTGAACATTTGTTTTTATTTAGATTCTGGTAAAGTGTGTCACACACAATCCTAGCATAATAAAAAAATTATTTTATGCTTTTGCAAGGTTTTTTGATATTCATGAGTTAATAATGTATTGATAAAATTTATTAATGCATAAAAGACAAAATCTTTAAATTTTTAAACTTGTGTAACAGTTTAACACTTACAGGGGTGCGCAGGTTATCGCAGAAAAAAATGAAAACAAAAATTTCGCGGCAAAAAATATGATATACAGTGAAAAACATTTTTGGCGGGAAAATGCAACACAGTTCAACAAGTTAATCCTTAAAAAATGCTGTTTTTCACTAGTTTAGTTGTAAAAATGGTACGATTTGACAGCACGCAAAATGAAAATGCAAGAAAACTTGTTTTTGATCTATGGAAACATGGTGTAAAAAAAGTTGAAATTTGCAAAGCCATGAAGGGACAGCTTTATAATTCCAACGTCTACAGACTCTTAAAAGACTTAGAAACTGGAAAAAATTACAAAAGAAAAAAAACAAGCCCAAATCGTTATGTGAGAACTAAAGAACTTCGAAATTCGATCGACTGCAAAGTACGACAAAACCCAAACAGGTCAATTTCATCCTTAGCTAGAGAAGCAGGTGTGTCTCGAAGGACTATGCAACGTGTTGTCCACGATGATCTGGGTATGAAGAGCCTTGTCAAGTCAAAAAGACAACTTCTGAGTGAGGTAACTAGAGCCAAAAGACGCAAAAGATCAAGAGTTACTAAATTGGTTAAAAGACCACAAAGATGTTCCTATCGTTTACAGTGATGAAAAAATTTTCACAGTTGAACCAGAACCCAACAGATACAATGACAGAGTTCTTGGTAAGTCCAGAAGAACAGTTCCTTTGGAACTGAGGACTATTCCAAAGAAACAGCACCCTGTGGGCGTCATGGTTTGGGCAGGTGTGTGCTCTGATGGGTCAAAAACTCCCCTTGTTTTTGTTCCTGAAGGTGTAAAAGTCAACCAGGTGACCTATGTTGACTTCATCAAAGCTAACCTCATTCCTTGGGCCAAAAAGAAGTTTGGGGACGATCCATGGGTCTTTATGCAGGATAGTGCACCAGCACACAATGCAAAGAAAACTGTCAGCTTCTTGAAAGAAAATGTTCCGCACTTTTGGACCCAGATATGTGGCCCCCTTCAAGCCCAGACATTAATCCTATGGATTTTGCTATATGGAGTGTCATGGAGACCAAGAAGGCAGCCAAAACATATCCAAATTTGGCAGCCCTCCGAAACAAATTGAAGAAGATCTGGAAGAATCTTAGTCCGGACATGGTGCGACGATGCTGTGAGTGAGTTCCAGAGCGCTTGAAGAGTGTCATTGATTCCAAAGGAGGCTACTTTGAAATTCATTAGTGTTTTTGAGTAAAAATATATGTGATTTGGTATTGTGAAAAGTTTTACTTTGAAAATAAAAGCCATTTTTGAGATATAAATATTTTTATTTTTCTGCGATAACCTGCGCACCCCTGTATTTAACATATTCCTTGCATGAAATCTTACATGACATCCTTATGTAACATCCTTACATGAAGTCCTTACATGACATTCGTATATTGTATTCATTCCATTATTTAAATTTCATTAAACACTAAAACACTAAAAGTTGTTTTTAACAAAAATTTTAAATGTTAAAAATTTATTCATTTTAACCAGTTTTTTTTTAATAAATTATAATGCTTTATTACAGATTTAAATTATAAAGATTTTTAAAAAAATGTATAACATTTAAAAGTATTATTATTAAAGTTTTCTTTTTATTTTCACTAAAAAATCCAAATCAAAAACAGCTAATAAAATTGTCTTTGTTATTCATGTTTTATGATGTTTGTATGTCACTCAAATGCTACATTTTTTTAATCGTCATCATTATTATTATTTTTTTTAAATATTTTCATTTCTTTATTTATTTTATTATTCTTATTCTTCAAAGAAAATTTTCAGAGTAAACATAATAGTTCCTCAAAATAAAATAAGTTTGCAAGAATGATTGTGATGAAACCTAAGCAGTTGTAACAAATCTTATTTAGGATTCTATATAAGGAGTTCACTTGCTAAAAATAAAAGTAAAAATTTGTTACCTGAGGATCAAGTTTGCAAATATGGTCGATATGATGTTCCGTAACTGTTTCTACTAAAGTATAGTAACTTTTGCTCAATTTCGGATACTCCTATAAAATAGTAATAGTAAAATATTTCACACAACTAAAAACAGTTTCAGGTCTCATAAAAATAAATTTTTAGGTCACATAAAAATAAATTTTAGGATGATTAAAAGTGTTGCTATAAACTTTCTGTAAGCAAATTTTTAAAAAATTTACTATAGATTTTTCAAAATTGCAGCTTTTAACTTTACGGTTGATAGGTTTACAGTAATAGTAATGTTGCTAATGATTCCAGTTATGCAATGATTGTACAACCCCTCCCAATATTATAAGATTTTCCAATAGAAATAAACACAGTTTTAAAAAAAACGTCTAGTCATTTATTTTTCCTTATTAAAAAACCTGTCAGAACCAAAATCAGAAACTTTTTATTGTATTCAACTTTGCAGTAACAAAAGTATTTCATCTGATTCCTTACTTAACACATCATTAGATTTGCCACCTTTCAGGTTGTATCATTCGTGCTAAACTCGAGACAAATATAAGCTAAACTCGAGACAAATATAAGCTAAACTCAAGACAAATATAATAAAACTATGAATAAATGATCAACAATTCTTTTGAATTCTTTAAGGCATGATGACAATCATATCTTTTATTTTCAGATCACATTTTTCTGCTAGGGTCATGTCGTTCACTAATGTGAAAAGTCCCTACCATTATTTCAAAATTAAATAAATTTTAAATGATATTTTGTTAAAAATATATATTTTTTGTATTTTTTTACACAAAATTTATTTATTTCAGTAATAACACATTGTTAAAAAGAATTAATCAGAGAATTCATTTTTTTTTTTTAGCTTTTATAGGAAACTATTTTACAATAAAAAAAAATGTAATTTTTTTATGATTAAAAACTATTATATTTTTTCTAATAAAAATGTGTAAAATAATTATTATAATAATTAAAATAAATAGTTATTACAATAATTAAAATAAATAATTATTATAATAATTAAAATAATTAATTATTATAATAACTAAAATAAATAATTGTGAAAACAGAGTCTTTAAATTTTATTAAAAACTAAATGGAATCAATTTTAAATAATTAAATGACACAGTAGGTGGTTACAAAAATTATGTTAGTTAGCACTTATTGTTTATGGAAACATTTATTTTGTATGTGTTTTATTGTTTTGTTTTGTTTGTTTTTTTCAAAAAAGTATTTAGGTTAACCTAAAATAAAAATTAATGGTAATTTAACCCAAGGGAATACTCATTTGATATGTTTTTTATAATTTATCTATGATGTGAAATAAAAACGATGGTGAACCAGAATACAATATAAGATTTAAAATAGGAAAAAATTTTGTATTCTGAGAACAATTGCATGCTAGTGAGCTCGAAAGTAAATTAATAGTTGATGAATCCAGTGAATAGATACCACTATCAGAAGACATTATCAGACTAAATTCAAATATTCAAATAATAAAAGATGTAAATCTATTACAAAATGTTCTTTAATGGCTAAAACAACCAATCATGAAAAAAAATAATGAACTGTTGAATTGAAAAAAAAATTATTTGACATGTTAATTTCATCCAACTGGTTGGATTTAAATAGCTGAAGAAAATGTAAGTTAAGAAAAAGATATTAAAAAAAATTAAAAATAAAAATAAAGCTTCTGAAAAAAAAAAGAAGAAAAGAAAAAAAAAAAAGAAATCCAAGAAAAATCTAAAAGAAAACAATTTCTTGCAGATGAAAATAAAAATAAACAAGAAAACAAAATAAAAATAAAAAAAGAATCAGCTCTGATTCAGAAAAATTGTTGTTTTTTCTGTTTTTTTGAATTTAAAAATAATGTTTTTAGAAATAACAATAAAATTATGCTTTTTTACTTAAGTTAAATAAATAAAAATAAAATTTAAATATATGATTTTTTCATTCACGGTAGGTAAAGAACCATTCATGATAGGTGGTGCCATATCACAGTAAATGAAGAAACATACTTGAACTCACTAAAATTTTTAAAATAAAATTTAAAAAATAATTTTATTCAAATATAATTAATAGAAGTTAATTTATAACTGAGTATAAATTTTAACCAAAACTTTTGCTAACTGTTGAGACTGAAAATTTCATCGTACATTAGATAGAGGCAGAGAGGTTATTGCTCTTGACATATCTAAGGCTTTTGACAATGGTTTGGCATGCTGGTCCTCTCCACAAGTTTGTTTCATATGGTATATCTGGGAAGGTTTTTGAGATTATCAACTGCTTTATAAAAGTCATCCTCGAAGGCCAATACACTTTTTATTTCCTGTAACTTCTGGGGTAGCTCAAGGTTCTATACTTGGTCCATTTTAGTTTCTTATCTACATCAATGATCTTCTCGAAAAACTTTCATCTAAAGTAGCTCTTTTTGCTGATAACTTTATACTCCTGTCTTCTTTTCTACAATGAATAAAATAAAATTTTCGTCTTTTTTCGATTAGAATAGGCAGCCAATTTTGAATCTGATCTGAACAAAACCCAATTATTTTCTGCAAACATCTATCGAAGTACTGTTAACATTCCTATATTAATAAATGGAAACTCTCTCACTGAGTCCTCTTCTTAACCTCTTCTTGGATTATTGTTTACTACTAACCTTTCATGGAAACCATATATACAAACGATTGCAATATTAGCATGAGCTAATTTAGCAATCGATCATCATATTTGGGCTGGTTCTTCTAATGAATCTCTTTCTCTTCTAGACAAAGTCCAAAAACGCATTGTGAACATAGTTTAACCAGCTCTACCTGCTAAGCTTGAGCCTCTTTCCGATTGTGGTAAAACTGCATCTCTTTCTCTTTTCTACAAATACTATCATGGATGCTGCTTGAAGAAGCTATCATATCTAGTTCCATCAACTAAAACTCAATCTTGTTTGACTTGTCCAACAAAGTCTCATTAATTTAATGTCCCTGCGTGCTCTTAAAACTTTTTTTTTTTTTTTTTTTTTAATTATCTTCGCTTCCAACAAGGTTGCAAGCAACCACTAATTAGTGTTGGAAGTTACTGGAAGAGAAAAGATGAAGATTGTAGAGCAAGATAACGATTGACAGACGACTTAAAATATTGCAAACTATATGAATCAGGAAAGCAAGATGAAGGAAGCGAATTCCAAAGAACTGAAAAAAACTAGACGAATAAGAGTTTTTGGAACACTTAGGAACAGTAACAGAAAAAGGATGAGACTTAATTGAATGTAGAGTAACACGAGAATGAATTTTAGTAGATGGCACAAGAGATGCTAGCTCTTTAGAGCAGTGCCCATTATAGTATTTGTAGAAAAGAGAAAGAGAAGCAACATACGACGATGTGACAGAGGTTGAAGGTTGGCTGCAAGAGCAGGTCCAACTATGTTTACAATGCGTTTTTGCACCTTGTCTAAAAGAGAAAAGGCATCATTAGAAGATCCGCCCCAGATATGGCAACAGTATTCCATACAAGGCCGGATTTGAGATTTATAGAGATAGAGAATAGAATCCAGAGTAAGAAAGTGACGAGCTCGATAAAGAGAAGCAACTTTAGCAGATGCTAATTTTGCAACGGATTTGATATAAGGTTTCCAAGAAAGATCAGAAGTAAGAGTTAATCCTAGAAGATGAAGGGTAGGAGACTCATCGAGTACATTACCGTTCATAAATATAGGAAGGTCTAAACTATTGCAATAACGATTGGCCGAAAAAAATTGAGTTTTATCTGAATTAAAGTTCACCAGCCACTGTGAGCCTCATACTGTAGCAGAAGTGAGATCCTTTTCAAGCTCAGATGCCACCTGACAAGAATAAATGGTAGTATCATCAGCGAACAATGCCACCTTAGATGTGAGAATATCTGGAAGATCGTTAATGTAAATTAAAAAGACTATAGGGCCAAGGATTGAACCTTGGGGAACCCCTGAGGTTACAGAATAAGAAGAAGAGTGCTGTCCATCAAGGACAACTTTTATACTACGGTTGGAAAGGAAGGATTCAATAATCTTAAAGATGTTTCCAGATACACCATAAGAAGAAAGCTTATGGAGGAGACCAGCATGCCAAACTTTATCAAACGCTTTAGAAATGTCAAGAGCAATGGCCTTAACCTCTCCACCTTTATCTAATGCGCGATAAAACCTATCGGTTATTACTGATAGCAAATCAGCCGTAGAACGAGAAGATCGAAATCCATACTGATGATCAGAAAGTAGGTTATGAGATTCGAGATAAGAGATTAAGTGTTTGTTAATTAAAGATTCAAAAACCTTGCTTATGATAGGAAGAAGACTAATAGGACGGTAGTTAGATGAGTCAGATCGCTCTCCAGAATTTTTAAAAATAGGGATAACAGATTCTGCTTTCCAGCAGGCTGGAAAACAAGACTCTGATAAGCACTTGTTGAATAGTTTTGAAAAGATAGACGACAGCTCAGGAAAACACTTCTGCAAGACTATAACAGGTATGTTGTCCGGGCCGCAAGCTGTAGAAGAGTCTAAGCGGGAAATCACTTTAGATACAGAAGCTGGAGTGATACGAATGTCGAGCAATGGATCAACTTGTTTGACGGGTATATCAGGTAAAACGCAACTAGTGGCATCAAGAGATGATATTGATGAAAAGTTCTTGGCAAACAATTCAGCTTTGTCTTTAGGTGAGGTGACAAAGTCTGAACCATACAAAAGAGGTGGAATTACAGACTTGCCCTTATTATTGATACTATTAAAGATTCTCCAGAAGTCACGAGAGCCTAATTTTTGTGATGAAATACGAGATTTCATGATCTGAGAATAGCGGGTTTTGGCGTTAGATAAAACCTTTTTACAATGGTTCCTAGCAGTAATAAAGTGACGTCTGTTTTCTGGAGAATTGTTTTGCTGATAGATATGGAAGTAATGGTATGATTAGCAATTGCAGCAGCACAATGTGAGGAAAACCATGGAGAAGAGAAGACCTGTAATCGTCGAGAAGGAATAAAGGATTCCATGCCAGCCTGAATCCACGAAGTTATGTAAGAAGCACATTTGTCAACAGGGAGATGAAAGATTTCTACCCAGGGGTCATCACGAAGAAAGTCGCGAAAAGAGTCCCAGTCAGCTTTAAGGTAGTTGTAAGATGTACGATGATAGGGGGATTCTAATGGTAAAGAAGAATGAGATAATAGTTTTAGAGAGACCAAACCATGATCAGACGCACCTAAGGGTTAGTGTAAAGAAACTGAACACTAACTAGGATCAGAAACAAGACATAAGTCGAGTAGAGAAGGTAAATGATTCGGGTTGTCTGGAAAGCAAGTTGGAAAGTTGACTATTTGAGTTAGGGATTGAGAAAGACAAAAGTTGTGGGCCTTAATGCCTGCAGAGTCACTGACACTAGAGCCAAGCCATTCAGTGTGATGAACATTAAAGTCACTGACAACAACAATATTGGCTGATGGATAAAGAATGAGGGCTTGGTCAATATAATCAGAAATAACATCAAGAAGAGTGCAGTCTTGGGATGAGGGAGAGTGATATAGAACAAAGAGAAAGGTGATAGAGTGAAGTGGTGCTAAACGAAAGCACATAAAAGAGTAGTCTGTGGATTTAAACCTAGTTTCCCGACAAATGGGTGAATTCTTACGAATGTAAATGCCCAGGCCAAGCATGTGACTATTGGAGTCTTTACGAATTAAAGGAAGATAACCATCAACACTAAGATCACAAGATGAGACAGCTGAACTCAAATTAGTCTCACAAAGAGCAAGCAGGTCTGGTGAACTTTGCAAGAGATAAGACTCAACAGAATAAAAGTTACTTCAAAGACCACGAATATTGGTGAATGATAGGTTTAGCGAACTTTGTGATGACTGTGGCTTTTTGTGTTTTATAGTTTTCGTTACTTTATTCATTTTTAAATTTGTTAAAGAACTTGACTCGAAACATTGATAGTACTCAGTACACTGTTCTATAGCTCAAGCAATTGCCTCATTTCCACTAATAAACCCTAAGCCGTAACAAAGGGCTCTAATGTGGCCTTGGCAATGCACACCAAAAGTACAAACAGGGACATCATCCATGCGCAACATGACACTGTTAGTACTCTGATACTTTTCAGCTGTTGATGGAATCAGCCTCTCTGAGAGCTACCACAGAGTTCGGGAAACCTGACTACCAGCTGGCCTCAGAACCATAAAACTGAGTTTTAGAGCTGTACCCTCATTTGGAGATAATAGAATGAGTTGCCTAGTCATAAAAACAGAGACACAAGCAAAACCCATGAATCGAGTCAAGAAGATCCAGCGTTCAACATCCTAAACTGGAAACAATGTATTAAAAATACATCTGTGCCAGCCTAATAGATGACGAAGGGGTGCGAGGCTGGTCAACAGATAGAATCTGTTTACCCCTTAAGTCTTTGCCTAGGAGGCCTTCTACAAGACAGCAGCCGGATGCATGTAACATCTGCCCAAGATGAGTATTTTTATCGAGACACCATCTCTAGCCTTTACTCAACCAAGAGCCCCAAGACAGGGGGTGTTTTATGTCGGAGTTTGCATCTCCTAGCCTTTGCCTAAAAAGGCATATCCTACAAGGCAGCAGGACATGAAGCAGATTGTACTGGGTTACATGTTACCAGTAGCAGGATAAACCTGACCTGACTGAAATTTATCTAGCTTTTTCCCACACCTTTTGGAACTCTTCGATCTTCAGGTTTTCCTGACTCAAAGAACCTTCAATTTTTCAAGTCTTCTGTCAACCGTTTCCTTGCTCTTATAACTTCATTCTTTGTTTTCTAGTAACTCCCTACTTAATAATGGTTGCCTTGTTGGGAGTCAAAATAAAAATAAAATAAAAACCCTCAAAGTTTTAACCTGTTATAGCTTGAAAACTATGAAGTTTCAAAATTGAAAATTTTTTAAAAATCACGTTAGGAAAAGACATGACTCTTTATCATTACGCTTTTATTTTATAAAAACAAAACAAAAAAAAAAGACTTTTTGTTAGATAAAATAATTTTTTTAAACATATTATACAAAAATTTACTCCACTTTTGTAACAAATTAAAATTGTTGTAGTTTATAAGTGTTTTTTTTTTTTTTCATTCAGTTTTTTAAGATTGCAAAATAATTTTGTTAATTAATTATTAGGTTTTAAACAATTCTTGGTTTTTAAGATTGCAGATAACTTTGTTAGTTAATTAAATAAAAAAATATAATACAATAATTTCTGCTTTTCTTATTTTTGGATTAACTGGTTAAAAAATTAGAGGCTATTTTTGAATTTTTTGGATCAACTGGTTGAAAAATTAGAGAGTTAACATGTTAGCAAAGAAAAAAAGAATTGAATTTGAAAAACACATACTGTTTTAAAAATATAATCATTAAAAAAAAAGAATATAATATTGAAAATGTAACACAAATTGTGTTACATTTTCATGTAATTATAATAATAATTAATATAATATCAAAAAAGTAAAACTGTTTTAATGCCAAAAAAGTGCTTTTTGTTATTAAAAGATTATAAGACCGTCCATTTATTATTAACTTTAATTATTACATAACTATGCTTTTTACAAGTATTCATGAAAACATTGCATGAACATTAAAAAAACTTTTACATATCTAATTTACCAGCAGATTTCTTTGTTCAACTGACTCAAGCAACTTAACAAATACACCTATTGCATTATCCAATGAACTATCTCCATACAATCTCATAACACCAAAGTTTACATAGCCACCTGATAACGCTGCTTTAAGCATGTTAAAACATATAGAAATACCTTTTAGTCTATCAAAAAAATTAAAATGATAAAGAAAATCTATAATTTTTTGTTTCAAGAACATCTGAGAAAAAAGACAAACTTAAAAAAAGAAAACTACTTGTTAGATAAAATAATTTTTTAAAAAGGATACTTTGTGTTGTATAACTTATCTGAAGGATAACTTGAAACAGTTTGAATTCTGCTACCTTTGATGAATATATAAAATTTAAAAAACTATAAAACATATATCAAGACATAAATAAATAAATCTTAAATAAAAACACTTTATAAAATAAACTGTGTAAAATTTCAGCTAATATTGCACAAAAATTGTATTAATTAAAGAAAATTCAAATTTGACATAAAATTGGCTGGTCTAGGTTCAATAATACCCAACTCATTAAATACTTTCTTTTAAATGGTGTATGCCATTATTTTTAAATATATTATTACAAAAAAACAATCAACAGTCAAAGTTAATAAAAAGACAGTGTCAAACATGCTTGGAACTCACACTTTTATGATATTTAACACTTATTTTTTGTTTTACAATGTAACAATAGCTAGTAGCTGAAGAGTAAGTTTTTTTACAACTAATTTTTTTTTATAAAATATACACTATATTTATAAAATTAAACTATTTTCATTAAAAAAGTAATTTAATCATTAAATCAGATCATGAACCTTTTCCTAACATCTCTATATATTATTGCCAAACTTAATAGTAGTGCTGTTAGTAGTAGTGCCCATTTGAGCATGTTTGAGCCATTGCAATCAAAGTAATGGTGAGAAAGAGTTGCAACAAATATCTAACGTGCGTAAACTTCTAATTATGCAATGCATAATTTGAAAACATACTAAAACAAATCAAGTTTTACAGTTATACTTTCACTTGATAATTACATTGTGGCAACATCTCCTTAATTTTGATCTACAGCATTTTCATTTTCATAATTTAAAAAAATTATGTAGTTTAAAAAATTTTGATCTAAAATTTAATAAAGAATAAATTTTATAAGACAGCCTTGCTCCTCCAGAGCCTATAGCTAGAAAAAACTCTAAACTTTATTTTAACAATTAAAAGTATTTTTAGCTATATTAATTTTTTTGCTACAAATATATATAGCCTGATTAAAAAAAAATAAAAATAGATAGTGTTAAAAAGGCAGATTTAAACCTATCCAAAACAGCACCAATGACAGTGCACTAAACCACTGATCTATTGAATTTATGCATGTAATTGAAAAACAAACCATTTTATAAACTTTTATACTTATTGCAATTAATCAACTCTTTTTAGGCGGGTTCTCTAAATAATGGCACCTTTATTGCATAGGAACAATATATTTACACATATGTTATATGCAAATGTAAAAAATCCATTTATATGTTTTATACAGGATCATTTGTAATATAAGAAAACTTTTCTAATAATTAATTTCTGACAATTTTCTAATAAGACTTTTACGTTCAAGTTTTTTTTTTTTTTTACTTTTTTATTTATGTTATTGTATTTTAAACAGATTGACAAGACTGAAAAAACACAAAACATATTGTCTTATCCAAGTCGAAAATTAAAAACTTCTATTTTACATTTGCCTCTCTTGATAATTTCTATTTGCTTAAATTACGTCATCTTTTTCTTAGACCATTATATATGATAGACAGCTTTTTAGTAAATTGTTTATTAGTAAAGCCAAAATTGTTTTGCATATATGACATCACTTTGAGGCAAAAAACTAGGGAAAAAATACTAGAAATATAATTTTATTGTAACTTTTTAGGAAGATTCCTTTTATTATTTATATAGGATACATAAATAAATTTTTACAGGATATATTCTAGTAATGACTATATATAGTTATTACTGTTATTTCTTTAAAGCTACTTATTTATTACTATTGAAATAAAAACAAACTCTTATTTGTGTAATGATATATGTATACCAGTTTTATATCTTTTTGTGCAATTGAATGCAGAATAATTAAAATTAATAAAAAATGTAAAATATTATTAACAATTTTTTTTAATTTTTATATAATTAGAATAAGTTCCAATGAATGGAAGCATGAAATTACTTTTAACTACTTTTGAAGATATTGATTATTTTGTAAAACAGAAGTAAGATTTTTTATTTTTTATTGGATCTTTTAAAAAGTACATCTAAAAAAAACTAAACATAACTTAAAAGTAAAAGAAGCACTCCACAAAATTCCTCACTTAATAAACAAGTTTTTCATTATAACATTAACTTGACTATTTAATTAAAATGACAGTTAATTTCAATTTGATTATATTGATTAGATTCATTTTTTAATCATTTTTATTGGCTATGTTTATTTTTGTCCATTTATGTTTCTCTGTACAGTCTCCTATTTTTTAATATTTAATCCAGAGTTTTTTATTGTAAATTATTTTATGTTATTACGATATTCAAGAAATATACTTAGCCCCATTAGTATTAATAAATCCATTCCAACTATGATATGCAACTGTATTAGCAATATTTCATCTAGCAAGGAAGTATATAAAGCAATGCCATTTTAAAATAATGTGTTAGGAGCTAGTGGGTACAATTAAAATAATGTGTTAGGAGTGGGTACAATTAAAACTTTCTAAAAAAATCAACAAAACCATATAATTTTTAAACAAATTGTAATTCGCAAAATATTAGAACCAACATTGCAAAAAAATTTTTGAATCTAAGTGGAAAACATTTTTCTAAAATACACAAGTTTCGATAATCTTTAACAAGAATAACTTTTAGTCACTTATAGCTGTCTTCACCAATATTATTAACTCACATAATAAAAAATTTTCTTCCAATCATTCCAACATGTAACTACAACTATTAACTCCAAGTGAAAATATAAATTGCTATCTGTTTGTATTTGTATTTTTAATGAAACAAATATATATTGTCCCTATATGAAAACGTCAATGTAATGCATATACTTATACTTATATGTATAACTTTTTTATTATATAAATATATTCAGTTGTATACAAGTATACGCATGTGTAGCTTGTTTGGATAAGTTTGGATAAGAAAAACATTTAGTTTATACTCGGAATATCCATGGTCCAAAACGCACCTCTTCTATAGTTCTTTTTTGTTTTTCTACTCATCTCCTCTCTTTTGGTCTACTATGTTATCGGTAATATAAACGTAAACAATTATAAACAATTATTAACAATTGAATAACAACTATTAATAATTACTAGCAGTAAGCAACCCGTAATACGCGTTGTTAGTAAATAAAATTAAAAAAAAAAACAGCATTTAGAAAAGCCTAGAAAGTACTTTAAAATAGAAAAGCCTAGAAAATGACGTAACTCGACTAATAATAATAATATTAAATTAGCGTATTCATATTATCAGATTAGTAATTATTATTATTAATAATTTTTTAAAAAGCCATGTCAAAAAGCAACAAGTATTCAAAATTACAAAAAAAGATTGGGGATAAAAAACGTACAGAAATAAAAAGTAATATGAAACAATTAAGGCTATGTGAAAAATGTGTAGAGGGCATAGCCTAATTGAAGCTTAAAAACCACATAAACATGTGTGTGCCTTACTTAGAAAATATACTGAAAGGCTTAAATGATATAAAAAATCTGAATGTGAAAAGATTTGTATCATTCATAAATGTACAACAAAAATATTTTTATATACAAAAAAGAAAAGATAAATGGTTACAATGCAAATATATGACCAGCAGTTTTTAAAAGAATACAATTTAAAAGAAATCGCGTTGGTGATTTCTATATACTGCTTGCAAACTCAAACGTCCATAGCATACTAACTTAAAAGAGTTTGACTTACAGACGTTTGTACATAATGTTATACAAATGGGGGAACTAAGAAGATGACACAATTTTAGCAACAAGAAATTATCAAGAAAAGGACAAATCTAAAATCGAAGTTTCAAACTTTCCACTTAGATGAGACAATATGTTTTGTACTTTTTAATTCTTGTCAATTTTTTAAAATACAATAATATTAATAGAAAAATTCAAAACAAAACAGCATAAGCAAAAAAGACTTTATTAAGTCTTTTTTGTAAATATATTTAAGTAATATCAGGCTTGGATAGAAATGGCGTGCGATCGCACTCTGTAACTGACCACACAAATATTTTTATTTCTTAACAACTAGACCACGGCTATTTTGATGTTTTAACAATTTGAAGCAATAAAAAAATGTGTTAAGTTATAAATATCTTTAAATCTGATCTTTTCTAAAGTTTTTTATTTTACGCAAAAGCTTTAAATAAAACCATAAAATTAATTATAGTTATTGTTTACATAAACGCTTGTGTAAATTGATAAAAAAACGTTATAAATAAGTTTTTTTTATGTAGGCATTTATTTTTTATGATAAAATTAAACGTTTGAAACTATTTTCTTATGTCTTCCTAAAACATTTTTAAACCATTATTTTTAGAAAGAATTTTTTTAAGTTACTTTAATTTGTGAATAAGTTCAAAAGCTTTTGTGACTACTAACTTTTACACATTTTATGTGAATTACATAAGATATAAATCACTTTATTTACTTATTTAAGCATGTATTTTGTTGATTTAATGAAAAAGTTTTAAAGCATTTTGTAATGTTCATACGATTAATTTTTATGATTAAACTTACAATTTTTTATATTTTAAATAAACATTTTATTTTTTGTAAACAATTTTTTTATTTTTTTTTTTCAATTTCATTAGAAATGATTGAGATTAAATCTTTTATAATAATTTTTAAATTCATTACGTGAAGCGCTTATTAATAAAGTTGTAATGCTCAAATTAAAATTAAATTAAAAAGCTTGTTGGCAGTTTATTTTATTTAAATCGCAGGCGCATTTTATTTATTTATTTTTTTCTATTTTATGAATAAAAAACTTCAAAATTTTTTTTATAATATAACTCACTAATTAAAGCATGAAATTAGTAAAAATTACTATTTTAAAAAGACTACGTTATTTTTTCAATTAATTTTTTGCAACTTTTTTGACAAAATAAATGTTTATACAATTTGAAAATATTATATAAAACACTTTTTAATAAATTTAATAAAATTTGTTCTTTATTTAAACCAATCATTAGTAGTAATTTTTTACTTAATTTAAAAACGTTTTGCGTAACTTAAATAATGCTTAAAAAGATAAGTTTTAATAACGTTTATTTCAAACGTAATTAAAAACGTAACAAAAAATTTCGCTTTGAGTATAAGTTTTTATTTTAATTTTAGTGTTTATATAATTTCTTTTTCATTATGAATTTGTTTTTCGTTTCTTTTTTCGTTAGGATTTTTTTTTTCGTTATCTTTTTTTTTATTTTTTTTCCTAGTTTTAGTTTAGCTTAGCGTTTCTACATTCAGAACATTTCTCAAATCTTTAACTCATCAAAACATATAAACATTGTTTATTAAACAATCGTGGTCAAGTTTTCAAAAAATAAAATCATTTGCATGGTCAGCAATAGCACTTGATCGCATGCCATTCCTGTCCATGCCTGTAAAAGTAATTATTATAAAACTCCTGTCCATGCCTATAAAAGTAATTATTATAAAAGTTTTCTTATATTACACATGATCCTTTATAAAACGTTATAAGTGGATTTTTTACATTTGCATATAACATATTTGTTTATTATTATATTATACTATTATATTAGATGCTTTGCAATAAAATTGAGCATTTTTAGAGAGCTTGAAAAGCGTTGATTAATTACAATCGGTATAAGAGTTTATAAATTGTTTTGCTTTTCAATTACAAGCATAGTTTGGCTTAAAATCCCCTAACATAATATTTTTTTTTGTTTTTTAATCTAACCGTATATACTTATAATGAAAAAATATATTCAGCAAAAAAGAAATTAATTGTCCAAATAAAATTTTAGCTTTTTCTAGTTACAGGCTTTTTTTTTTTTTCTTTTCAGCAGCGCCTTCAGGTGTAGCAGGACAGTCTTATTAAATTTTTTCTTTATTCATTTTCCAACTATTTTTTTTTCAGACCATCAGCAGCTTGTTAGCACAAAGTACCTGAGCATATTAATAACGTAAGTCTCTATCATGTGATATTGCACAAAAAAATTTCTCAACTGTCTTAATATTTTTAGAAATTTTTGGCTTTTTAAAAAAATTGTCACCTTTCATTTTTTATAGAGTGTAATATTCTTACATGTGTTATGTTTATATTATCTATAAAACTTCAAAAGTGTTTTATTTTGTAATATAAATAAATCAAAAAAGATTTAAAAAACGTTCCAGTGGTAGGATTCAAACCACAGCATGTGGTTTGAATCCTACCACTCAACAGCACAGGAGTATTGTTTGATGAAAATTATGAAACTACTTAACAAAAAAGACTTTATAAAACAGAAATAAATGTTTTAGATCAAAAGTAAAGTGTTGTTGCAATGCAATTTTCAAGTGAAAGTAAAACTGTAAAACTTGTTATATGTTTTAATATTACATAATTTGAGAATATTTGTTGAATATTTTTAGATATTTGCATTTGCTTTTTATATATTTCACATTTTCTTATTAAAAAAAAGTGCTGCATTTATTTCTCAGCAGTTGCAATGGCAGCCCAGGGGTTCCGTGTCAAACATGCTCAAACGGGCATTACAACAACAACAACTACTACTACTACTACTACTACTACTACTACTACTACTACTACTACTACTACTACTACTACTACTACTACTACTACTACTACTACTACTACTATTAGGTTCAGCATTATTATAAAGGGATGTAAATAATATATATTGTCTATATGCACATACAGTAGAGAAAATAGAATTAGAAAACTTGGTATGATTAATTAATTACAAATAGAAAAAAAGATTAAAAGTATTCAATTTGTGGAGAAAACAGAACTAGCCTCAAGTACATTATATACAAGAAAATACTGAGAATTTTTGTTTTTAGACTTTAATATTTAGTATTACATCCTGAAATCTTAATGACTTTAAAATCGTGACTTGACATACTAGTCACAAGATTGTAAGCTTTGAATTATGGATAGCAGCATTGTCTTGTTGAAAAGTGAAATCTTCACTTATCAATTCTTCACCGGTTTTAATCAAACTAATTTCTAGTAAGTGATGTATTCTAGTGAATTCATTTTTGTTAAAATCGTGCCAGGAATATTGATGATCATCAGGACCATCTAGATTGAACTTTTTTTCATCACTAAAGAAAACTTGATGCCACTTCTCCTGCCAAGACATAAATTCTTTTGCAAATTGTAATCTAGCTTTTTTATGACAAACTAAGTTTTGGTTTTGATTTATGCTTTTTCCAAACTACGTATGGATCTTCAAGATTTTTTGCATGTCGAACAGTTATACATAATTGTAAATCAACAGGAATTTGAGATGCAGTTAGGTGCTGTGCAGCTGCACAATGTACAATAGCTCGTTTAGTACAATTATCAGCTTTACATTTATTACCACTTCCCTTATAAGCTCCATAATTAGCGCCTACCTTGAAACAACTATTAATCATTTTTGGAGATTTTTAAATTTTATTTTCAATTTCCAAATAAGATAAACCTGTATCTTTGTATGTTTTGATTACAGCTTCTTCATTGGTTCAATGCTTACCACACCCCATTTTGCATTCATGTATCAAAAACCAAATGTTAAAAAATTTATGACCACTTATTTCACAGTCTTATAAACAATAAAAAAAAATTCACAAATGTGTATCACTAAATCAAAATATACAAATAAACTGAAAAAAATTATTTTAATTCTAAATGTTACCGGAAAATATCAAACATTATACATATTATGTTTTTATCAAATGAACCACAATTCCATAATGCTGTATTAAAATCTAAAAAGCTGTTGTTTGTAACAATAATTAAAAATGCATGGATACAAAATATATACTGTACAAATTTGCTTACAGATTTACAAAATATTGGATTAGTACAAGGTGAGGCTAATTCTATTTTCTCCACTTTATATAAATAAATAGCCAACTTTTATCAAATTAGGCCTACTTATTTTTTTATTTTATTTTAAACTGCTTAATATTTGTGTTAGATCAACATTAGTGAGTTTCGAATTGACCAACATTAGTGTGTCTCATCAACATTAGTGTGTTTCATAATGATTTAAATTTTTGTAAAAAGAATGCATACCATATGTAACTAATGTTTTACTGATTTCGCGAAATAATAGTATACCATCAGCTACCATAATATCAAATTGTAATCTCTGAGAACGATTTTGTGTCAATTCACACATGAGTTTTAAAACACAATTTGCAATATCAGGATCATGATAAGACATTTCTAAAATACGCTGAATTAATTTTGTACACTCTGGATATCTATTATATTGTCAGGTAAAATAAAACAAATTACCTAAAATAATATAATTAAATAGTTAATATTCACAAATAAGTGAATATTAACAATTGTTGAATTATATGTAAAACAAGTATCCAATTACATTTTAACCTATCATAGTTGCTCTTTGAAATTTACAAATAAGTTTTATAACACTTATCCGTCATGAGACATTTCTAAAATATGCTGAATTAATTTTGCAATAATAAAAGATATAAATTCAATACAGAATGCACAAACGATAAAAACTACTTTATAAAATTTAAAAACAAATTTACAAAATTGTTTACATTAAAAATTGAAAAAGATACAACCAACTAAACAACATTTGAAAGCTATTCTTTGTATTAAATGCAAATGCCAATCCTCTTAAATCTCTGCATAACCCCACAATTAAAGACTAAAAAATAGAAACCTCTGAATATTTCTATAATCAAAAACAAAAACAATTTAAGTTTCTGCATAACTCTACAAATCAAAAATACAAAAACTTTCAAAATATCTCTGCATATTTCCATAATAAAATAACTAATAAAAACATCTGCATATACCATATATTGAGATTAAAGGATGTTTTTTAACTTTAATGTATGCTTAATGTTTTAAATGTTTTCAACATTAACGTATGCCTAATACTTTTCAACTTTAATGTAGCCTAACAATTATTACGAGTACTTTTTAACAAGCCTCATTCAGAT